CCCAAACTTTTCAGCGGTAGTGTAAGTCATGCAGTGCTTTAAGCCCCGCCTCCAGCGGTCATCCAGCATGAAATAGAACTGTAATTACGCGTAGTAACTTTTTTTTTTACTTTGTTTATTGAACATTTTGAACATTAGACAGACATAGTTGGGACAAATTCAAAGTGTCAATACAATCACAATGTCACAGTTCTGTCAATCAACCCTGCCCACCCACCCCACCCACAGGCCAAAAAATAAATAAACAAATGAATAAAATAAAAAAATAAAAATAAAAACAAAACAAAAAATAAATGAATAAAATAAAAAAGGGTAGACATGGATGTAAATGTAGATAAATAAGTAGAGATCATGTTAGACATTCAACGGTAGTAACTTCCAATCTAAAGTCTAGTCTGTGAGCTGACTGTTTACGGGGACTTTAAAGGTTTGATTGTTATTGAATAATTGTTTAACTAAAGTGTTTTCTCAGTGGAAGCTGGTAGCGGCTCTCTGGCATTTTTGTTTAACTGTTTTCTCTCTTTTGCTAGCTCCGCTAATTATAATAAATCCTGCTAATTGTAAAATAAATTTTATTTTTCATCTGTTTAGGTTACTGAATGTTGTGTTACACCCAGTGCCAGAAATCAGCCTTACTGGTTCCTAAGGGACGGATGTGTTTCTCAGTCTTTTAACCACTTCTGCAGATTCATTGCAGCAAACATCTGGTTTGGTAACACCTTTCTGAGGAAGGAGTGTTACATCACACCTGAACCATAAATCACACCCAGCATACGAGGCTGTCTCTGCTGCAGACATACTTTGAGTAGAAGTCAACTTCTTGTTTTGATATATTTCATTTTACTGCAAACATCATTTTAAAGGAAAAGTCCGGTTAGCGAGAAACAATCAATGGATCATTATTTATACGTAGATCGAATATATTCACTGTGATTAAATTAATTTAGCGTTAATCATGATAAAAAAATAAAATACTGATTTTTGCCCTGATCACAGAGTCTGGGAGCGGCCATTTTTGTATATATGGTAATAAATATAGTAGGGCGGGTGATAACACACCTGGGCAGTTGTATAAGGAG